TGATTTTTACGTATTGTTGGATTCAGTTTGATGTATCTCAAAGGTTTTAGGTAATACTGGTATGTAGTTTTTCTTATGTCTGCTTCTTTTTGATATCAGGGTAATACTAGCCTCCTAAATGAATCAGGAAATGTCTTATTTTTTTTTTAATCACTATCTTCTATTTTCTGGAAGGTTCATGTAGAACTGATTTTATTGCTTTCTTAAATGTGTGATAGAAATCACCAGTGAAGTCCAATTAGTCCTACACTTTTCTCTGCTAGAAGGTGCAACTATGAATTGGTTTCTTTAATATGTGCACACATTGCTATTTAGATGGCTCTACTCTTGAGCTTTATCAGTATCTGTCTTCCAAGGAATATGCCTGGTCATCAATGTCAAATTTACAAGCATAAAATTATGTTTCTTATTTTCTTTTCAGTCTCCATAGGTCCTATGGCAATACTGCCCTTTTCCCCTTGATACTAGTAATTTAAATTTTTCCATTTTTCTTTATTAGTCTGTATTCCTCATTCCCTTCTCCCTGCTTTCTTTGGGTTTAGGGTATTCCTCGTTTGGTTTCTTAAGGCAGACGCTTGCATCATTGACTGAAGGCCTTTCCATTTATCTAATGTTAACATTTAAGGCTATAAATTTCCTTTTAATACTGAGTCAGCCATATCCTACACCTTTTGATAGGCATCATTTCAATTTTCACGGAGATAAAAATATTTTCTCATTTCTCTTGTGATTTCTCCTTTTATCCAAATATTTAGAGATTAGACAGATATCTCCTTATCATTAATATCTAGTTGAATTCCACTATGGCTAGAGAACATTTGTTTGTATGCTTTTTCAATGCCTTAAATTTGTGGAGATTTGTCTTCTGGCCCAGAGTATTATTTTCTCTCTTGGTGAATATTTTAAGTGCCCTTAAAAAGTTATGTTGCTATTATTGGTGGAGTATTCAGGATATATCAATGAGGTTAAATTGGTTGAGAATGTTGTTTGAGACTTCTCCATCCTTACTGATTTTCTTCTCTTCTACCAGGCATTGAGAGATGATTTCCCTATTGTGATGGAACTCCATGTTTGTTTCTATTATTTTCAGTTTCACTTACACTTTAGCTTTTTGAACCATATGAACTTGATCTAGGCACGTACAGTAAAATGTGGATCCAACCTTCCCTTTTTCTTCTTCCAGCACCAAACTAGTTTATCATTAATATTTTAGGTAGTGTGGTAAGGATGATGTTTAAGAGAGAAAATTATTTTAGAGAACTTGTAAAATACATAGCATACTTTAAAAATATTTAATGTTAAGTCTTTAAAACTAAAAGAGAAGAAATCATGGTAGAGAAAAAAAAAAGATAGTGCAAGAAAAACGTTCCAAAAATACATTTTTGAACTGCAACATATACATCCTCTCTCTCTCTCTCTGTATATATATATGTGTGTGTATAAAGTGAATACTATTATTCTTTTCTTTATTTTCACTAGAATTCCATCCCTCTGAATAACCTGTCCAATATAGAAGTTATTTTCAAGCCAATTCTCTAACGGTCTTGCAAAATAAAACAAATACTAAGAAAAACACTCGGTCCTTTTATATAGATTCCTTGTATCCTTTGTCTTTTGCTCAGTTAATGCTCCGAATCTGATTTCTTATTTAAAATTCCTGAGAGGGTCACGTGAGTGGCTCACTTGGTTAAGTATCCAACTCTTGATTTTGGCTCAGGTCATAATCTCACAGTTTGTGAGTTCGAGCCCCACATTAGGCTCTGTGCTGACAGTGCAGAGCCTCCATGGAATTCTCTCTCTCCCTGTCTCTCTGACCCTCCCCTGGCTAACATGCATACGTGTATGCTCTCTTTCAAAATAAATAAATAAACTTTAAACAATTAAAAAAAATAAGATTCCTAAGATGTGCTACTTCTGACTAGAATATTTATTTCTTGTTAGCACTTTGTTTTACTGGATTCACTAAATTTTTCTAGTCACATATTTCATACAAAAATGAGTGTGCTATAATATTGGATGCAAAGAAAGGTCTGTAAAAGAACTAGTAGCTGAGGAGTAACTTATGTTTGCTTTGGCTTTTCATCACAAAAATCTTTGAAGGAAAATCAAAGAGAAGAAAGAAATCTAAGTTTCATATTAAAAATTAATAATAAGCAATTGTTCCACTCAAGAAAAGCAGAAAATTATGAAACTTTCGTATCTATCACTTTAGGCTGTATACAACTGCATTTTAAAGCCAGGAGACTAATTTCTACAGGGGTTTACATATCATTTGAGTTTTGAGACTACACAGTACCATAGATTGATGACCATTTTATAATCCAGCAATCACCTTTTCAGAGATACATAGGTTCCCCTGCCCTCATAATGATTTTACATGATTTGCAGGTGTTTCTTTAACCACTATCAGCTTGGAGTATGAAACTAAAAAAGAAACTCCCTAGCTCACCCTTCCCAGGTAATATTTACACATCCTCTTTCCCATTTCTCCACCAGCTGCGCTCCACTTTACTAAATGTAGGGCTTATAAATCTTGATGTAGCAGCTGTAGTTGCTGGTAATTTCTGTGGTCACCTCCAGTGTTTCGGCTGGGCATGTTGCTCAGTAGATACATCCTCCTCATTGTGCTTGTGCTGATGACGTGGGGCTGTCTCCTGAGGTGTCACCATCTCTGCCTTGGAGTACGTGGGCTTAGGACTCTTAGGAAAGCAATGTTTTCATAGCTCAGATCTACAACAGCAGTTCAGCTTAAGATGCATTTGTTCCGGTCCAGAGGTGAAACGAGGCATCTCCCTGCTTCTTTAGAACACAGATATAAGTCTCCTACCTCTGCACCTCTGCACTTGGTTTTTTTTTTTTTTTTTTAATGTTTTATTTATTTCTAAGAGAGGGAGAGAGGAGAGTGAGTGAGCAGGGGAGGGCCAGAGAGAAAGCGAGATACAGAATCTGAAACAGGCTCCAGGCTCTGAACTGGCTGTCAGCACAGAGCCCAAAGCAGGGCTTGAACCCATGAACCGCGAGATCATGACCTGAGCCGGAGTCGGACGCTTAACCGACTGAGCCACCCAGGAGCCCCTGCACCTGTGCACTTGGAATGCCTTTTCCCTGGGTGTGACCACAAGATTCAATCCCTCCCCCTGTCTATTCCACGTTCAAATATCATTTACTTAATAGGGACTTCTGGAACCACCCTGTTAAAATTGCACTCTTCCCCACTCTCACCTAATATATCCTGTCCTCCTTCCCTATATATCTTCCTTCCACAGAATTTATATTCCAATATATTTTATAATATACAGTGGCCCCCACCTATTCTGAGGGATACATGCCAAGATACCCTGTGAATGCCTGAAACTATGGTTAGTACACAATCCTACATTTACTGGTTTTTTTCCTGTACGTACACATAGCTCTGATAAAGTTTAAATTATAAATTAGTTCTTGCAAGTGCATACCAACAATAGCAGTGCAATAGAACAATTATAACAAGATACTGTAATAAAAGTTATGTGAATGTGGACTTTCTTTTCCTCTCTCAAAATATCTTAATGCACTGTACTCACCCTTCATCCTGTGGTGACGTGAGATGATAAAATTCCTGCGTGATGCAATGAAGTGAAGTAAATGGCGTAGCGTAGCTTTAGGCTACTATTGACCTTCTGCATAGACACCAGAAGGAGGGTCAGCTGCTTCCTGACCACAGCTGACCACAGTTAACTGAAACCATGAAAAGCAAGACTGAGGGAAAGTTGGGACTCTGTATCTACTTAGTGACTTTGTTTTTGTTAGCTTCTTCCCTGGAATATAAACTCTCTGACAGTTTGGATTTTGTCTGTTTCATTCATGTTGGATTCAAAGTGCCTAGAATAGTGTCTGACACCAAATAGACACCTAATAAAAATATTTACTGAATGAAGGAATAGTCCCTGGAAGTGCAGCTTCTCGCTGCTTCCTTACCACTCACACAAGCTGTATTTACTTTTCAGTCATAATGATACTGGACCCACTTCTCCACACCAGGACCCATGCCAAGACCCAGTTTGAAATGTGCATGCCATTAATTTCCAACTGAGAGAATGTGAGAATTTCTCAGATCACTCCTTGGCTCTGATTCCCCTTTCCATGGAAATGTAGCTTCTCCTCCTCAATGAGCCTCCTTCTAGCCTACTTCCAAAGTTGGTTTCTACTTTATTTGATCTCCACCTTCTACCCCCAATCCTCTGTTATGGGGTCTGTCAAATTATTTAAACAAGGAGATCATTAGACTGATGTGGCTCTAATGCTATGGAGACCTATGTAAGGAAACCAAAATCTAAGCCTGTAAATGCCTCAAGATTACAAAATCAAAATCTGAGGACAACCAATCATGAACAGTCACTTGGGCTTTAAGCCTAGCCAGTCAATAATATGCTTATTTTGTTTTACTCTTTCTCTATAAAAGTCTCTTCCTGAGTTCCTTCTGGTAGAGTACTCTTAACTGCTTCTAGTTTGGCACTGCCCAATCCAAATGGATTTTTTGCTCAAATAAACTCTTGAAATGTTTAATATGCCTTGGTTTATCTTTTAAAAGGGACCAGGTTTCCCATTCACTATGTATTTAAAAACCTTCATAATTATGTAACCTTAGAAAGGTTAATTTTGACTACTTAATGAGGATGAATTAAGAAATATTAAATTCTAGGAGTGCCTGGGTGGCTCAGTCAGTTAAGTGTCTGACTTCGGTTCAAGTCATGATCTCACAGCTCGTGGGTTCGAGCCCTGCATCCAGCTCTGTGCTCACAACTCAGAGCCTGGAGCATCCTTTGGATTCTGTGTCTCCTTTTCTCTCTTCCCCTCCCCTGCTGTGTCTCTCTCTCTCTCAAAAATAAATAAACATCAGAAAAAAAAATTAAAAAGGAAGTATTAAATTCATATTTATTTGTGATTAAAAGTATTTAACCTTAAAACTAATTATGTAATTAACTCACATGTCATATTTGAATAAAATGTCACGACAAGAAACCTTTTCAAAAAGAGGTGTATTTTAATGATGAAAGACAAACTTAATGAATTTTTTTGTACATAGCCTTTGTAGTATTAAACAAGTACTGTCAAATACATATATCTAAGCAGATAAGGATACAATTATTTTGTCATGAAAAAGCTGTGATTTCAAAGGTTTTTAAAAAGGAAAAAATGGTAATTCTTACTCTTAAGAAATGACAGTTGGGAGTTAATGGTGTCAGAGTCATATTGGCTGAAGAAGAAAAATAACAACAAACCCTAAACCCCCCTTAACATCAACCTCACCACAAATATATAATCCTTTTGAACACAACACATAGGAGAATAACTTCAAAGGCATTAAGGCTTACTTCTCTGGCATATTAAAGAAAAAGTTTGGCTAATGGCTCCTGATTTATAAAATTCCCTGATAAACTCCCCTAGATTATGCATAAATTTCCACTTTTAAAAGGTCATATAAAAAGATATGAATCCCAGTTTCCAGCAGAGCTACTATTGGTCCATAACAAAAGTTTACTTGAGGTTATTTAAAAATACTAACAAAAGAAAATTCTTATTTTTAAAAAGAAAATTTTTTAAAAGAAAATTTAAGAAGAATTTCAAGCTAACATTAGGTATGAAAAAAACAGCCATATGGCTGAGGTTAACTTTCTAAAGTCCAACAAGCAAGAAAACCTTCCTTCCCCCCAAACAGCAATAGGACAGTTGCGCCATAACATTTGTGTGGTTCTTCCTACAAAAACCAGTTTACCACCGGTGGGAGTCCCAGCCCAGGAACCAGCCTGTGAATGTGGGTGGCTCGTGGCCCTGTTTTACGATGACAATTGGGGTCCTCCTGTCTCTTCCAGAAGGGTCTGTCTCAAGGTACATTTTAGCTACAAAGAATGGGCAGAGACATACACATTGGGTTAGTTCCAATGGACCTAAAATAATGACAGAATGAAAAGTCTTCCAATTAAAGTGATGAATCATATTTTCGTTGCCCCCAAAGTAGCCAAATGCTGTTCCATATGAATAATTCCTTATTGATTTCTCTCAGCTCCTATGGATTGCACGTGTCTCATGACTGCCTAAAAGTAAACTAAACTTTATAGAATAATCCTTATGGCATAATTTTTCTTATACTTTTCAGTAATAAAAAGCAATTGTGCCAGAAAGAACAGCATTCCCCAAAAGGAATTTTTAAAAACTTAGGTTATCACAGTTATAGAGGTTTCAACAATTTCCATATAGAACATTATTTCAGTGAATTTAAAATTTTCTGCACAAATTGATGTAATCGTATTCTAAATTAGGTAACAAAGTCTATTTTTCTTATTCTGAAATTCTTGAGTTTAAAAGACTTCCATTACTCTTTAGTTTTGAAAGCGAAAGCTTATTAGATTCTCCTCGGTTTTAATGTGCAGTTTTGAAGAATGTGCTGGAAAGAGCAGTCAGGGACTCAGACATAACCATTCAGGGTAACTGCCATCATTGTGCACGGGATATCGCTTACCAGACTTCAGAGATTCTGTTCTCTCGACTTCATTGGCATCTTTGCCAACCCAAATAAAAATCTGAAAAATGGAACAATAATAATATGTACTGTTTGGGGAGTACTGATTCGGTGCAAGCCCTAAGCCAAGTGCTTCTCACACGCTGTTCATTATACTCTTCACCACAAGCCCAGAAGTTAAGGATGTGAACAAGGAGGTGAAGAGAAGTTCCACCACTTTCCCAATGTTTGCCTTATCAGGAGACATCTAAATTGATATCCAGCCAGTTTGACTCCAGATTTCACACTCTGATATTCTGTGTTTACATAGTATTTTATAGACTTGCTCCAAACAAAATATTGGCCACTTTCTGCACCCACTTCTGGGATGGAGTGTGTAATGCAGTCATTATCTCTGTATTATTATGTGAGGACCACACTTAGCTTGTTTGTGGAGACCTCAGACTCCCTTTAGGAACCTCTGACTTCAGCCTGTAGTTTACACCTATAAAACTGTATCCTGTAACACTTTGGTAAAGGTGCTATAATGTTTAGTATTTCAATATTGAGGTCTTTAAAAAAATTTTTTTAATGTTTTTTATTTATTTCTGAGAGAGAGAGACTCAGTGTGAGCAGGGTAGGGTCAGAGAGAGAGGGAGATACAGAATCTGAAGCAGGCTCCAGGCTCTGAGCTGTCAGCATAGAGCCCTACATAGGGCTCAAACCCACAACCTGTGAGATCATGACCTGAGGCAAAGTCAGATGCTTAACCGACTGAGCTACCGAGGCTCCCTGAGGTTTTTTTTTAAACTGATATAATTATAAATTCTGTACATATCCTTCTTGTCAAATGTGTAGTTTGGGAGCTTCAATGCTGAAAAACATTCTTTTGAATTACTTATATTTAAATCACTTTAGAATAACTTGTTGGCAGAGAAATTTTGGTCAAATTAGTTTTGGCTGTATTCTAATTCACACTGGAAGTACTGAAATATCTGCTTGCAGGGCACAGAACACACCATGAAGCATGGGAATACAAATGAAAAATGTGATTAAAAATAAGTCATAAGGGAAATATTCTAAAGTATCTGTGACTATAGGATTGACTACAAATGGAAATACTTAAATTCTTCTGAATAAGGAAACCTCATTCTCATTTTAATTCTTAATACACAAAGATGTTTTGACATGAGGTTTTAAATTTCATATCGAGAGCCACCTGGGTGGCTCAATAGGTTAAGCGTCTGACTTGAGCTCAGGTCATCTCACCATTTATGAGTTCAAGCCCCATGTTGGGCTCGTGCTGACAGCTCAGAGCCTGGAGCCTGCTTTGGATTCTGTGTCTCCCTCTCTCTGTCCCTCCCCCACTCATACTCTGTCTCTCAAAAATAAATAAACATTAACAAAAAACTTAAGAAAATAAATTTCATATCCACAAATAAGTGATCCATTCACCTGGGGAGAGTCTGTAGCTAGATGTCAAATTCAAATATGATTAATTCCAGACCAAGAAGCTAAGGTGTAAAATAAACAAATGAGTTTAGCAATTAAGAACAGACCTAAAAGTAACAATTAGTGGGGTTAACTCTAAGACTAGGCCTAATTCAGGGATAAGGGTTTCATAATTGTTCTATACAATTTAATTCCTAATATATGTATTTTTCCCTTTTACTATTTAATGAATTTACATAAAGGTTAAAAAAAAAAACCTCAAAACCCAATTCTCATATATGGCATGCCAAATCACCATTCTTTTTTCCCCAAATATATATGTGTGTGTGTGTGTGTATAAAACAATATGTATTTTACTGTATAGATTCAAAACTATTCTGCGTTTGTTTCTTCCCCAGGGGAAAGGTGCTCTATGACTTCATGTCAGATTTCAAGAAAACTTCTGAATCTCTCAGTCTTCCCCTTGGCACTGTACCCCCATGGCATTGTATACACTAATGCTTTTACCAGTTAAATGAATAGATGAATGCATGAATAAGTTGGAGTGAATGAATTTTACAAATAAGTGAAAAATGGAAGTGTTTGTTTTTTGTTTTTTTGCCTAAAATTATACAGAAACAGATGGTAGCGATAGAATTATTTCCACATTAAGAAATCAGTTTCCTATACATATCAGTTTTACCTTTTGCTAAACTATCTTGGGTCTTTTTAAAATATTGCCTAAATCCATAGGTCTATTTACTATTAGACTTGCCATTTTTCAAAGTTGGTTTTGTGAGCTCCCAATGATAAGCACACTGTCTTGTTATGATCAAATCAAGTTTTACCTGTTCCCAAGCATCCAGTAACATGACATCATCTTCTGCCAAATCATCCTGGGTGAACTCTCCCGGAACTTCTTCAATCTGAAATGTATGAGAAAGCTTTATGATCAAACAGTAGAGCAGTAATTTTTCTAACATACAAGCTACAAATGCATTGTATTATTTTAGAGAACCACAAAAATAAAGTTTAGTAGTCATTTTTTTGTTGTTTTGGGGTAATAAAGATTTAAACAATTGTTTATCTGTTTACTCATGTATCACAAACTGATTGAATCTTGTCTGGGAAGCATAGTACTTAATATAAACACTGCACCTGAATGTCTTAGGTAGGCTATGTACAGTCTGACCACAGCTCTACGTCCAGTCCTAGTGACAAGCTACTTCACCGATTTCTGTCATCTTTGTAGTCCATAAAGGTATTTGAGTTTATGGTATAAGGATTAAGCTGTCTTTTATATTGTAGGTCAAGATTATTTTAATAAAATCGATAGGTCTGATCATTTTTTAAATCAATAATTTTTGACAAGATGATATAACAATATTCTATAAGCAAGGTTTTATTATTATTATTTTAAATGTATTAAATTGTATCCTCTATAGTTAACATCACAGGGCAATAGGGAGGGTTTGTTTAATGCACTCACCACTAGCGGGCAGGTATTAATCTGAAGTTCACAATGTTTAAAGGATTCTGGATAAAGACCCCGCCGGTATTTAGGAAGGTGTGGTAGATTGGATGATAGCCCTTCTGGTGTGTGACTTTGTAGTATAGTCAAGTAAGTGGAGGTAACCTTGGCCCTGGCCATGTCAATCAAGCAGGTTAGGGGCCCTCTTTTACTCCTGGGTTCAGTCTTGGGAAAAACAGGCATGAATCCAACCAAAGCCCAAAGGAGAACCTCCTAGCTGGGCCCAGCCTAGGTAAACCTGGTCCCAGGCAGCCTGTAGCCCTCTGAGCAGAATACATATTTGTTATAACCTGATGAGATACTGAGACTGCTATATAACAAACAAAAACTATTTACCAAAGGCAAAGAGTTTATATTATCTTTTTACAGAACTTTTACCAATCACATAGAGATTTTAAAAAGCAAAAACCTGAAACATCACTTATCCCATGCCAAAACCTATTCTAATCCTTTATATGTAACGAATGACTTAATATTCACAGTAATACTATAAAGTAGGTACTAGGATTATCCCTATTTTATAGATGAGAAAACTACAGCATAGAGAAGATAAGCAACTAGCTTAAGGTCACACAGCCAATAAGTAATATCACCAAGTAAGTGATATTGCACGGGCAAACTGGTTCTAAAACCTGTGTTTTTAACCAACATGCTCTGCTATCTTATGCGAATCTACAGGGCTACAGTTGGCTTTCTGATTGTGGCGATAAGATCAAACAAACACCTGTTAGTGACATTTCTTTTCCTTAAATTGTGAAGGGAAGAGTAGGAGTTCCAAATATCAAACAAGAAAATGAGTAGGTGTAGAGAAAAAGTATATTTCCATTAAATATGTTCATGACAAAGAAAAAAACAAACAAAAACAAAAAGACTAATAGATTTTTCCAAACTTCACTGAGAACAAAGCCTAGTTACTATTTTTGTAAGATATATCTTCATTGGAGACAAGACAAACATGTTATTTAAAGCAATATTAGCATATTTTGTATACTAAGAAGAAATTATAGAAGCATTAGTTGAATAAGAAGCTGGTTGGATGCCATATAAAATTAACAGTCAAAAGAGTAAAATAGATTTTTTTCTAAAAAGTTTCTAAAATACAGGGATTTCCTAGAAAGTAGGTGAGCAATTGTGATGCCCAACAACCAAATATTTGTCAAAACTCGAATTTTTAATTTAAACCTTTAACTTTTAGGTGAAATCACTTATCAAGTGTGGTTTGAACATTAGCAGTTTCTTCTTCAAAGCATTTTTTAATGTTTACTTATTTTTGAGAGAGAGAGAAAGAGAAAGAGAACAAGTGGGGGGAGGGGCAGAGAGAGAGGGAGACACAGAATCTGAAGCAGGCTCCAGGCTCTGAGCTATCAGCACAGAGCCAAATCTGGGGCTCAAGCTCACGAACTGCAAGATGTGACTGGAGCCGAATTTGAACACTTACCCACTTGAGCCACCCAGGTGCCCCAAAGCATTTTATTTCTAACAAGCTATGTAGCTGGGAAAAGACTTCGGCAATTTCCGTGTGAGTGTGAGTGTGTGTGTGTGTGTGTGTGTGTGTGTGTTGAAAAAAGCTTGTATTCACCAAGACATGCTGACCAAATCTTCAGATCAAATTATATATAGGAAAAAAGTTTGTCCTTTAAATAAAATATTTACATGAAACTCTAGCATGTCAAACAGAGAAAACCAAATTTTTATGGTTGAATTGAGATGAAGGGCTGTGGTCCAAGATATTTTGGAGCCCAGTATAAAATCAGTCTTGTACACAAATACTTTTACTTTGAAATGTCTGGGATTCAAAACCTGTGAATGATTATGAAATACAACATTTTTGCTGATTTCAGTTAATTTGCAGGTGCATGTATAGCTTTCTCTGATTCTGCCCAATGATCATAATATTTCCATAACATTTTTATTCAGTCAATGTGGTGAAACCTTTTATTCCCTGGGAAACTGAAGTGCAAAGTTGACATAGTTTGATCACAAACCACTACGGTTTCCCAGAGAAAGTGTCAAATTATTAAATTAGTAAATCCAACCACATGCATATTCATAACAACCTCATGTTGACACAGGTGCAAAGTAGCTGGTATTTTTAAGAGCAGTTTGATTTATTTAGTACTTTACAGTATTCCTATGCTTTCACATCCATTACATCGTTGACTCTTTTTTTTAATGTTTATTTAACCATTTTGAGAAAGAGAGAGTGTGCATGCATGCGTGCGGGGGAAGGGCAAAGAGAGAGAAAGAGAGGCTCTGTCTCACAAACCATAAGATCATGACCTGAGCAGAAATCAAAAGTCTGATGCTTAACCGACTGAGCCACCCCAGTACCCCACATCATTGATTCACTGACTCTTACATTGATCCTGCATAGAGCTAAGATTATCATTTATGGTTTGTAGATAAGCAAGCTAAAACTGAGAATCGGAGCACTAGCACGGCTGAAAAGTATTAAAGCCACACCGGAATGCCTCTCCCAAGGTTATTCAGTTCTACCCCTGTGTTCGGCAAGACACTCACAATGAATCTTCCAGTTTTGTTAGAGCAGCCGTAAAGCCGGGGTGGATGGTCTTCTGCCTGGGTTTCTAGTAGTGGAGAGATCTGGTATTCCTTCTTCCCTCCAAGGGAATTCCAGAACTCCTCTGTGAAAAACACAATGAGTTATCCAATGCATTTCCAGGAGCACAGAGTTGGTATTGATTTACATTAACAAATGATATTACTTTACCTTGACTGTAATGTTAAGAAATTACTTAAATATGGCAGGTACCATCACCCACTTTTGCAACTAATAGAAGGATTTTTAATGCCCTATAAACATTACAAAGGTCCTATTTACAAAAAAAAAAAAAAAAAAAGTAACACGATTAGCAATGATACCAAATAGAAGTCCTGGCTCTGTCCTTCACCCCATAGTACACACCTGGCTCCTTGCCTTCCGAAATCCTTGTGGTTTTGCATTTGAGGACACTTGCTATATACTCTGCTCCTTTCTCCTCTTCCCGGCTAGCGCCTTTTCCTATCCAGACGTAGCCATTGTTTTGCCGCAGTTTCAAGACAAAAACATCATTGGAATTCAAGGAATGTGCATCAACATCTACCTAGAGTACAAAGAAAAATAACACAGTGATTCCAATTCATTGCTGTTCCCTCAACAAACACGCCTGAGAAGCTGTGATGGACAAACCATCCTTTGCTTTCCGTCCTGATCCCAGGGTGGCATTACATAGGACACCACTATGGTCTTAGAAATATTGGGGCACCTGGGTGGCTCAGTCGGTTAAGTGTCCCATTCGTAATTTCCCTTCAGGTCAAGATCTCATGGTTCAGGAGATCAAGCTCCATGTTGGTCTCTGTGCTGGCAGTGAAGAGGTTTGGAGTCTCTCTCTCTCTCTCTCTCTTTTTCTGTCTCTCTCTCTTTCTCTCTGCTCGTCTCCCACTCAAGCTATCTCTCCGATTGTCTCAAACTAAATAAATAAATAAATACTTTTTTAAAATAAAGAAACACTAGTAGCACTTTTCTCTGTGTCACTCATAATGCTCAACTGCCTCCAGACAAGCATGGTGCACTGCAAATAAAATTACCCAAATGTAAGTGATAAGTAACAAAAATGATATTCAAAGAAACCAGAAGAACAAGTATGGGCTATAAATGATGGTTGGCAAGTGAGTGTAATATACACAAATGACACACATAAAGCAAAAGATGTTCAGTTTTTCTTTCCTCAACTTAAATAGGTTCTTCAAATAATCAAAGGGACCTACCCAAAGCAGCTAACAGATTTAATGCAATCCCTATGAAAATACCAAAAGCATTTTTCACACAACTAAAATAGACAATCCTAAACTTATTTATTTATTTATTTATTCATTTATTTATTTTTATAGCCAAAGTTTATTGAGAGACAATCTTAAACTTTGTATAAAACCACAAAAGACCTGAATAGCCAAAGCAATCTTGGAAAAGAAAAACAAAACTAGAGGTATCACAATTCCAGACTTCAAGTTATATTACAAAGCTGTAGTAATAAAAACAGTATGGTACTGGCACATAAATAGACACACAGATCAACTGACCAAGATAGAAAGCCCAGCAATGAACCCACAATTATATGGTCACTTAATCTTTGACAAAGGAGGCAAGAATATCCAATGGGAAAAAGTATCTTCAACAAATGGTGTTAGGAAAACTGGACAGTAACATGCAAAAGAATGAAACTGGACCACTTTCTTATACCATACACATAAATAAACTCAAACTGGTTTAAGGATCTAAATATAAGACGTGAAACTATAAAAATCCTAGAAGAGAGCACAGGCAGTCATTTCTCTGACACTGGCCATAGCAAAATCTTTCTAGATACACATCCTGAGGCAAGGGAAACAAAAGCAAAAATAAAATATTGGCCCTACATCAAAATAAAAACTTCAGCACAGCAGAGGACACAGCCAACAAAATTAAAAAACAACCTACTAAATGGGAGAAGATATTTGGAAGTGACATATCTGATAAAGAGTTAGTATCAAAAATATACAAAGAAGCTATATAACCCAACACCAAAAAAAATCAAATAATCTAATTAAAAATGGGCAGAGACATGAACAGACATTTCTCCAAAGAAGACACAGGTGGCCAACAGACACATGAAAGGATGCTCAACAGGGAAATGCAAATCCAAACCACGATGAGGTATGAGGTATCACCTCACACCTGTCAGAATGGCTAATATCAACAACACAAAAAGGTACAAGTGGTGATGAGGATGTTGAGAAAAGGGAACCCTCCTGCACTGTTGGTGGGAATGCAAACTGGGGCAGTCACTGTGCAAGACAGTACGGAGGTTCTTCAAAAACCTAAAAATAGAACTACACTATGATCCAGTAATTGCACTACTGGGTATTTACCCAAAGAATTTGAGAAACACAAATTCAAAAGGATATATACATGCCTATGTATACTGAGGCATTATTTATAATAGCCAAATTATGGAAGCAGCCCAAGTGTCCATCAATAGGTGAATAGATAAGAAAGAAGTGATATATATATTTTTTTCATAAATTACATAATGGAATATTACTAAGCTGTAAAAAGCAATGAAATCTTGCCATTTACAACAATACAGATGGAGCTAGAGAGTATAATATTAAGTGAAATAAGCCAGTTAGAGAAAGACAAATACCATATAATTCATTCATAAGTGGATTTAAACAAATGAACAAAGGAAAAGAAGAGACATACCAAAAAACAGACCCTTAAGTATAGAGAACAAGATGATGGTTACCAGTGGGGAAAGGGGAGGGATGGAGGAAATAGAAAAAGGGGATTAAGAATACACTTATCTTAGATGAACACTGAATAATATATGGAAGTGTTATCACTATATTGTACACCTGAAATTAACACAACACTGTTAACCATAATGAAATTTTTAAATTGTTAGAAACACCAAACAACATACAAAGGGACACCTAAAAATCCTAGAACAGGAACTGGAGTCCAATGTTGGCAAAGAGATAACAATGCAGATTTCACTAAAAGGTTCTCCAGGCTCAGATAAATCATAAGTCAAATTATTAAAGACAATAGCAGATTAAAAACACAGCACTGATATGCTCCTTCCTTCCAACCAAGAAGCCGTGGCCACTCTCTGGGACTGGCCAGGTGAGCAGAGTTGTGCTCCCAGTGGCCACAGAGGAATGAGAAGGACCCAGCAGGGCCAAGACTTTGGCCCAAGGGCGAGGCTGAAAGTAGAACCTTATGGTAAGACAAGCATGTGCAGTGTCAGGCCTGGTAGTGAACCTGAGTGTCCTAGGATGGGCTTCTGCCTTCGTGTCTATGACCTTGTGATTCTGTGACTCTGTGCTGGACTCTGTGAGAGCCTGTGTCTGGCCACATAACTATGTCACCGACAGTATGTGTACGACATTCTGCACTACTGTGGGGCTCAATGTGATGAAGAACCAGTGAGCAAGACTGAGATGGTGCAGTCATGAGAGAGGAAGAAAACCCAAGTGTGGTATTCTCAAGGCCAAGTTTAGAGAGCGTTTCAAGAAGGGGGTGATGCTCAGCTGCCAAATGATGGCACTTGGCTGACTTGTGAAGTGCCATCAACTAACGTAGAAAGCTGGATTTCACCAGGTTTGCCAGCACCCTGTCCCCAGAGAGAGCACTGGAGGAGGAAGGAATCACTGGAAGTTCTATTTTTTATTTTTTTAATTAAAATATAGTTGACACACGATCTGTTGGAAATGTTAAAGATGTGTTCCAGGGGTTGGTAGCATTCAGGGAAGTACTTATCATCCTTTTTCAGTAGAAACAGGGCCTCTTGGACTAAGAGTCTAAGGAATCTATTGGATGTGATGATGCAACTTGATAGGAACCAGGACTTCCAATTTCTCATCCAAATGTCTCCTTATTGGTACAGAAGAAGGAGCTTGGATGATAGACAGGGGACAATGGACCCACACAGGGACTAGTCTGACCTCAGGGAGGTAGTTCCAAAATAGAATATTATAAAATGGTAGCCTCCCAGGAAAGGAAAACAGAAAACCTTACAAACTTGGCTTTGACTAGCACATTTCCAAGAGCTGGGATTGTGAAGACCAGCCTTGAGAGGCTAAAAGGAACCACAGGAACTGCATTACAAGCAGCTTGCACGTCTCATAAAGATGTGCAAGGAAGAGACCAGGAATGCAAGGGTTCTTGTCAACCCTTCCATCTGAGATCAGCTGAGTGTACCTGTAGATGAGAGCTTAACGGTTAATTTTATAGATTTAAAAGTAATTAGTCATAGTCGAACACATGAGAATCTGCTTACAGAATGTTCTGGATGAGATCAGTATACATGATAGCATTTATTTTTTTTTAAATGTTTTATTTATTTCTAGGAGACAGAGAGAGACAGCGTGAGCAGGGGAGGGTCAGAGAGAGAGGGAGTGACAGACTCTGAAACAGGCTCCAGGCTCTGAGCTGGCAGTCAGCACAGAGCCCGACACGGGGCTCGAACCCACGAACCGCGAGATCATGACCTAAGTGAAAGTCGGACGCTTAACCGACTAAGCCACCCAGGAGCCCCCATGATAGCATTTAAATGACATGATTGAATGCATATCACCATGCAAAGGGCCAAAACTGAGCCTTGGGGGTTTTGGAAGACACACAGCAGAGGAGAAGCAGAAATTGGTTTGCTGTGAGAAGTGGAGTGAAAACACTCAAGAAGTTTGGAAGAAACCTTATGAGCGTGGTGCTTCAGAGGCCTGGTTTCAAGAAGCCAGGCAAGGGCAATTGTGGCAAAGGCTAATGGAAGTTTAAGGAAAGAGGTCAGAAAAGATGGTAAATAGGGGGCACTGGCAACTAGGTAACAGTGTAGGAGTGGCGGGAATGGATGCCTGAGGAGAGTGGCTTTACAGAGAAGAGGCTTAAACATGTGAGGGAGTGAGTGAGGGCGATGCTTTTGAGGATCTGGGCTCTTAAGGCAGAGAAAGGAAATGGTAACAGGGAAGATGGAAGTCAAGAGATAGTTTTTAAAGGAAGATAGGAGTGTTTTGAAGGCATGCTTGTATTTTGAAGTAAATGATCCAGAAGAGAAAAATACACTGATAATACACAAGAGAAAGGAGATTACTGCCAGTCACAATGATGAATGGGAAGTAAGACAAGAACATGGGACAGAGGGGATTCCAAGGAAGCCCATTGGAAGGCAAAAGGGTGGGAGGTTCTGGACAGAAGTTGGTGGTGGAAAGTGGTAGGAATTTGGCCTTAGGACAGAAGTCACATTTTGTTTGTTTATATAATATGTATTGATTTATTTATCAATAAATTTTTACAAACATTGCTTTGCATTATTAATTTATGGATAAGAGTATATCAATATCAACTTATAAAATAATGTAGTATTTATATATAAGTAACTGTTACAAAGTATTTATAAGTTGTTAAATATAAACAAATTTATTCCGTGTAAGAGGCAAGAAGGTGAATATATATGTACAGATGCAAGCATGTTGGTGAACTTGGGGAGTAGATAAGGTGACTCTTGTGCGATTAGGTCTATGTTCTCTGAGATCTCTGACTCAGTTCTCAATAGAGAGCAGGCATGTTGGGAGATCTGGAGAGCGAAGGATATGAAGGGTGTGACTGATGGTGAAGATGCATGGGTTCAGATTTGAGATTGCTGGGATATACATCTTAGAGTAAAAGGGCCAAATGACAGGAGATGGTTGCCAGAGATTAGATATCTGAAACAGATTTCTGAGGTGCTAAAGTAATTATCAATGGTAAGGTTTAGTACAGGACCACAGGAGTGTGAGATAAAAGGGGTCAAGGATAAGATTGTTGGATGAGAGAAGCCAGAGTGATGGAGAAAGTGAAACAATGGCTGAAGCCACTGACTATAAGAGGGGAAGGACTGGCCACTCCACGGTCAATGGCACAAGGAAGCTGAGGGAGGGGGTGTCTGATAAGGACAAAAGTCAAAGAGCCAAGGGTGGGCAAGGAGGGTACCCCACCCACCCCCATACCTGGGAAGAGGGCACTGGGGAAAAACACCTGCCACTTGAGAGGGGTATGGGAACCGATGTCCTCAGGGGACAGCCATAGTGCAAAAAGGGGGAGGGTGGTTTAGAGAACAGATGGTAGTGGAGGGATGCTATGACCCACCTAGCTTCAAGGGCTCAGCTGAATGGTTTGTGGGAAGGGGAAGGGTTGGCAAATGGGTCCAGGTGTGGGGAGTACAGATTGTGCAGGGCAGTTTAGGGGTGACCGGGGAGACTTGGATTTCAATGGTGACTGAGGTGTCTGGGTGATGAACTATGATAGACTGTCCTAGAGGTCAAAACACTCAGCCATTTAAACACCTGTGTCTGCTGGCCTGTCCATACCTGGAGGTCTTCTTCTCTTATGACCCACAATATGGGGTTTGATTTCTTTCACAGTTGCTGTCAGAAACAGTTTATTTGGCCAGTTGAGTTATGGTTCTGGCCCAATGTGTGCTGAAGCTTACCTTCCACAACTGCCACACCTATACAAAAGGGCTTTCCCTCTCGGATTTCCCCAGTAAGACTACCTGGCCATTGCCTGCCATCCATCTTCCTCCAGGCCTTTCAAGATAAAGCTTCCGCTTCCTCAGGCCTTTGACCATTTGATATGTTACATTGCTCTTAAAATGTATTTGTTTTGGTACAAGGCACATGAGAAGTGTGACAGGCCTGATATCTGGAGCTAACTTGGTTCTCCTGCTTTTAGAGATTTTTTATTGTGAACCAGGGATTAACTATCGAAATAAAAGGAATTCGCCAATTTTTTTGAAGCCTAGTATTTGTTGATGGCTCAGGTCCACCGGGAAGTCCATAAAAAGGGCATGTTTTATTGACTGGTATTACCTCCATGATTCTGGTGATAGATGCCAGGTTTCTCCGGACTTGAAAGAGGCGTGTAGGGGGAGCCGGTGCCTGACCTCCTTTCTTTGATGTTCCATTCTTGTAAGTAATGAGTGGTTTGTCTTTGAACAAACTCAGCAGGTGAGCAGGCTCTTTGCCTTGGGAGACTCGGATCTAGGGGCGGGGTGGATAAAAGAAATGTCATAAAGGATGCAATGAAAGAAGGCTGTATTTCCACATGTGTTATTTTCCTTTCTGAAAACAAAACAAAAAATAAATTAAAAATGAAGCACAGGAGGCATGATGATTAACAGGTTAATGCAAATCAAGCTCAATTTTCATAAGAATCTGCCTCAAGGATCTGTTACTCAGGACACAGCACCCTGAGCAGTTTCTTCTCAAGGGAAACATCACCATATTGTGCCACTCTCTGCTTCCAGAAAGTATAAGGAGGTAAGGCTGTCCATCTACATCTCCAAAAGAGAAAACACAACAAAGTGATGACGTATGCCATCATTTATAAAGGTTACTCATTTTCAACCAACACTTTGCAGATGTTTACTGATGCCTTTGTTTCTGAAATGTTTTGGACCTTGTTCAGAAGGGGAAGAGATGTGCATTTCAACTTCCAAAAATAAGACAACACCAAAGCATATTTCTTATTTCTACATCTCCATGACTATGAGATGAAAACATGTGATAATCTGGGGATGAAGAAAGATTTCAATCCAAACACCAAAAGCTGGGAAAAAAACCATAAATTGAATATATTTTGTATTTCTTATCTACAGAAATGGTAATAGATTTGCTAAATATAAGCACCTAAAAATATGAATTATAAGGACTCTTCAGGATAAGGAAATTGAAGAAAATAAACAGTAAACCATTTAACTTCACCTATTAGCTGAACACCAGACATTGGATTAGAAATGATTCTCCTGTTTCTGACATAAATTACTGATGTAAATTTTTACAGAAAGTTCAAACTTTGTGTCAGTTCTCTATTTTCTTCAATTATTTTGCACTATGTTAAAACTGAACTGTCTCAACTACCCTGGTGTGTGTGTGTGTGTGTGTGTGTGTGTGTGCGCGTGTGTGTTTTAGAAGCCAAGTAAACAGGAATGCGGATGTACATACCATAGCCTGGAGGCCTAGGGAGCACTGAAAATAACTAACTTCACAGAGATCTTTCTTTTTGTTTTGTTTTTAATTTTTTTTAAGTTAGTTACACACCTACCAAGGAGCTTGAACTCACAATCCTGAGATCAAGAGTCACGTGCTCTACTGACCTTGCCAGCCAGGTGCGCCCCACAGATACCTTTCAGTTAGCAGACATTCAACTAAGCAAGTATCTCCGCCCAACTGATGAATGGATAAAGAAGATGTGGTTTACATATACAATGGAATACTACTTGGCAATGAGAAAGGATGAAATCCTGCCATTTGCAGTAACATGGATGGAGCTGGAAGGTACTGTGCTGAGTGAAATAAGTCAGTCAGAGAAAGACAGATATCATATATTTTCACTCATACGTGGAATTTGAGAAAATCATGGGGGAAGGGTTGGGGGAAAAACATAGTTACAAGCAGAGAGGGAGGGAGGCAAACCATAAGAGACACCTAAAAACAGAGAACAATCTGAGGGAGGAGTGGGGGAATGGGGAAAACGGGTGATGGGCACTTGTTGAAATGAGCACTGGGTGTTGTATGTAAGTGAGGAACCAAAGGAATCTAACCCAAAAACCAAGAGCATGCTTTACACACTGTATCTTAGTCAATTTGACAATAAATTATATTTTTTAAAAAAGAATAAATGTTAAAAAAAAAGGAAAAAAAAACCCAAAAAAACCAAAAACAAAATAAGCAAGTAGCAACTTATACAAATGTCTTTTAAGTCACAGCTTCAAAGCTTGGGATGAGGTTAGCCAGGATTACCTAAAACTACTGCTGGCTTGGCATTTTCCATAACATTGAAAAAACCTCAGCTGCCAACTTAAAAAAAAAGAGGGCCACTGATTAAGATCCATTTTCCACTGCTAAATTACGATAAAAGAGCTAAACAGTAAGTTGAAAAATCTTCACTACTGTTAGTATACTCTGCAAAGGAATTTAAAACAGCAGTGCAAGACTGGAGTTGTTTATATATTATTGTAAACTACTGCCATCTAGTGATTAAACTAAACATTACCATTTCATTATAAATTTAAGATTCAACAGGCTAACAATGGAAATTCGTTCAATGGGTATATCAAACATTTTATTATGAAATATAGAATTTACAAAGCATAATGCATATGTTCAAGGTTTTTGCATAATTTGGTAAGGAACATTTTAAAGATAAATTAAATGACACTGATGTCAGTTCTTAGCTGGAAATATTTATTTCTTTTTAAAAAATATCTATTTATTTTTGAGAGAGAGAAAGAGAGAGGTCAGGGGAGAGGTGGAGAGAGAGAATCCCAAGCAGGCTCCCTGCTGTCAGTGCACAGCCCAGCTTGGAGCTTCATCTCACGAACCATGAGATCATGACCTGGGCTGAAGTCAAGAGTCAGATGCTTAACCAACTGAGTGAGCCATCCAGGTGTCCTTAGAAGTATATTATTCAAGAAGTGAATATAATAGTTCATGTGAAAGTAGATTTCAGTGCATTTAAAGGATTCAGTCATCTTGCTACTTTGTAAAAAAAAAAAAAAATTAAAAGTTGGGGAGTGTGGGTAGCTCAGTCAGTTAAGTGTTTGACTCTTGATTTCAGCTCAGGTCATGATCTCATGGTTTGTGAGATGGAGCCCCACATGGGCTCTGTGTTGACAGTGGAGTCTGCTTGAGATTCTCTCTCCCTCTCTCTTGCTCACTCTCAAAAATGAATAAACTTAAAAAGCTAAAAATAAAAGCAAATAAAAAGTTAACATGCACCTTTACATTTAGTTCTAATTTGCTTTAAATTTAGATCTAACTTCCATAGAAAGATGGAAAAGAAACCAGCTGGAAAACCAAATTTAACCTAGATTTTCTATACAAAAGTATATGACTTACTTCTCTATTTAATTATTACTTTTTAAGAAGTAATTACACTTTTACAAAGATTTGAAAGCTGGAAAGTTATCAGCTCTAAGTAATAACTTGGGTAGAACAGTTTCATGTCAAGTACCTGTCAATTCTTTTGGTTCCTTAGGTTTGTTAATAGTTTTTTTGTTTGTTTGTTTAATTTTGTTTGCTCCTTCTTGTCCAGAATCTGAGAGAACTACCATGACATGAGAGTAGGAACATTTAAATTCCAAAATGAAAAAAAAAAAATAGTATTTAGAAAATGTTCAAATTCCCAGCCCAACCTGAGAAGAAAGCTTTCACCAGTTATTGGGATAGCAAAACTTCAAAGTAAAGTGAAACAGCCTGACCTGCACAGCCTGTCCTCCGAGTGACCTGTCCAGCTGAACAGTCAGGAAGGCAGATGTCGTCAGCTCATCTCTTGTGGCATTTGCTCCCTGCCTAGAGGAACCAAAGCAAAGTCAATTAGCTTGTATTTGAGTTTAAGACCTTCTAATGTAGGCATTTCAGAGACTTAAGTCACCTTGAAAGCTCAAGATGAAACCAACTGTTCTGACATGATAGGTTGTAGAAGCTATCATTTCTTTTCATTTCTTTGAAGGTACAAACGAACATTGCGCCATGAATTGCCCTGTGTATTGTCTAGAACGACACATGATAATTATTTTTTATCCCCAATATATGGGAAAAGAAATCGAGGCCTGGCTCCTTACATAACTTTAGCTAAGTAATCAGGTCTGTCTGACTTCAAGTTGAAGCTGCCTATTTTGGGAATCCATCTCTGCAGTAAAAATAAGCCATTTAGTAGAACGTGAGCCTGATCCATTAGGCTGGCTATTAGAAGCATCCTATCTTTACATGAATGTTTGGTGACCGTAGTAACGAATATCTGGACCCAGAAAAATCAAGGAAATAATCATAAGAAGTAGGCAATGGAGAGGCCCCATTTTGTCTAGAATGATGAAGAATTACTAATAAAACCTTATGTGAGGTTGAACTACCAGCAACCCAGACAGGGATCAATAAATCAGTTCATCCAGTTCATTCGCCGTTTCTCTTCCTAACGTAGCTTGTGGCTAGAACTCCAATCACTGGCTTAACCTGTAAGGCAATCTTTGGGAGATCTGCTTTTTTGATGCGTTTGTGAGTGGGGGGCGGGGAAAGCCAAAGCACTGAGCATTGTTTGTTTCTCATCGATTCTCCCACCTCTGTCTGACTAGGAGTTAACAGGAAAAATACTAATTCTGAAACTGGATTTCAGAAGTTAACGAGATCTTTACTTCTGAAACTTTAGGAGTGACTTACCTACTTATCTCATACCCAGAACAGATTAGCAATAACTTTCTATCCAGGGCAACAGACACATACGTATACATATACACATAGAAACCCTGGGTGTGGGAAAACACTGGGTACAGGAAACATGCTTTGTTTATTTAATAATGTTTCACTAGACCAGCAGAATCAAGTGACATAAAAATGTTCTACAAAGGCCAGGAAGAAAGAAAAACAAGGATATGCTCATGCAAGGCACACATTTAAAAGAAAATAAAAAGTTATCCTTAATAAAGACATCATAAAAATATAGGCTACTTAACCTCCAGCCCCTCTTTCACGTGCTGTCAAAGAGTCCCATGCTCCCATCCACATAGATTCAGACTAATTTGTTTTATGGATCTATGACCTAAGGGGTCAAATACTCCACTTCAATCAAGACATAATAAACTTGCTCTTTGCCTCTAGTTTTGAAATCCTATGTTGGGAGGTGGAAGGGGGAGCAATCTACTTGGACATGCTTTCCTTTTTATAAACCATTGATGTTTGTTATTCATTAAAAATAAATGCCACATAAAAATAGAATTTACTGCTTTGAGAAATTCATCATTGCCATTGTTCAATGTTTGTTCAATTTCAATTACTTGACATCCCAGAGAAAAGATCATTGGTGAAATTATTTTTCTCCTATCCTGTTAGAATATAAGTGGTTTCAGAAATTAAAAAGTAAATTTGTATAGTCAGTAGTTGACTTAATTCTAAAATTTTTTTTAAATGTTTTATTTATTTCTAGGAGAGAGAGAGAGACAGCGTGAGCAGCGGAGGGTCAGAGAGAGAGGGAGTCACAGACTGAAACAGGCTCCAGGCTCTGAGCCGGCAGCCAGCACAGAGCCCAACGCGGGGCTCGAACCCACGAACCACGAGACCATGACCTAAGCGAAAGTCAGACGCTTAACCGACTAAGCCACCCAGGCGCCCCAGTAGTTGACTTAATTCTAGTCCTTCACCTTTTACTGTACCTCCTGGACTTAACCTACATATAGCCCTGCACTGAAATTATCACATAAATTGGGAAGTTGTTAGTTTTGAAAGCTAATCTTCAAGAGATCTGCTTATTTTCTAAATGTCTCTTCACTGCCTTTATAGAAGCTTTTGAAGTCCTACAAAACATACATTAACACACTCAAATGTTTAACATCTGTGATATTAAGTGGTAAAGACTCTCAAAAATAGGACTCTCAATACCTAATTTTTAGTCTTGATATCTCAGAAATCATAAATCGTCATCACAGAAACCATGAACACATAAAATTGGAAAGAAGAAAATTAAATGACCTCCCCTTCCTTCCCAGGCCCATCCCAAAGACAGGAGCTATGAAGAGTGTGGCATAGTCTCACATTTTCCCTTTGAATTTTGACAGTGAGGGCCCAACGTGTCCTCTTCCTAACTTTCTTATCTCAGTGACTCCAGCACTACACCCTTGTGTATGGACCAGAAATTTAGGGGTCACCTTTGATTTGCTCATCCTCACTATTTCACATAATTACTCTTTCAGATGTCAACTCCGTAACACTTTACAAACTTACTTTATGCGTCCCTTTCCTGTTGCCTTTACACTGAGTTCTGATAATCCCATTATCATCCAATTGGGATTATTGCAACACATTCCCAACGGCCTCCCTGCCACCAGTTTTCTCCCATTAGTCCATTCTTTCAGATGTCAACTAGAATAATTTCTTTAATATGAAACCAATCATGCTACTCCCCTAAGAAAACTCCTTGATTGGTCTCCAGTGCCCTGACAGTAAACTGCTTCCTCCGCAGGATGGTTACAAGGCCATTCACAATTACTCTCCTTCTAATTTCTCTGATTTTATCTTTTGCTTCCTAAGTTTGCTGCAGCCATGTCATTACCAGTAGGTTGGAGCACACTTACCCTGCATTGCTAAGAACAACTTCCCTATTTGCTTATCTGACTAGCTGCTACTTATGCTCCCACTTAGATGTCACTTCTTCTAGGAGCCCTTCATCAATAGCCTAGGAGTGGATTTGGGAGTCTGTCCAGAGCTCCCCAAAGACCACTCAGCTTGCTTTTATCTTAAAATCCTTCATACTTCAATGAAATGCTTGCTAATAATCTGCTGATTCTTTTTTTTTAAAGTTTCTTTACTTTGAGAGAGAGAGAGAGAGGGTGTGCATGAGTGCATTACCAGGGAAGGGGCAGAGAGCCAGGGGTAGAGAATTCCAGCAAAGCAGAGCCCAACATGGGGCTCGAACCCATGAATCATGAGATCAGACCTGAGCTGAATCCAAGAGTCAGATGCTTAACTGACTGAGCCACCAGGTGCCCTTCTTCTGGTTCTTTTTAAAGTATAAATTCTTGAGGCGCCTGGGTGGCTCAGTTCCAACATTGGCTCAGGTCATGATCTCACTGTTTGTGGGTTCAAGCCCCGCATCGGGCTCTGTTCTTAACAGCTGGCTCAGATCCTGGAGACTGCTTCAGATTCTGTGTCTTCCTCTCTTTCTGACCCTCCCCTCCTCATGCTCTCTCTCTCTCTCTCAGAAATAAATTTTAAAAAACATAAAAAAATTAAAAAATAAATAAAGTATAAATTCTTGAGACACATTGTATATATTTTTTTACCACTGTGTCTTTAGTATCTATCTAGTACAGTGCTTGACATATAGAAAGTGCTCAGTGAACACTTTGAAATGATTTGAGAAATAATAATTGCATTGAACATTTATAATCTGATTTAGTCTGTTTTAGTTATATTCACAGTTATTTAGGTAGGCTGCAAATTGTTAATTTTTCAAAATATTCTCTTGAATTGCTTGTTTAGTCTTTCTTGTTTAAGTGCCACAATCAATTACATTTTTTTTATATACAAAAGAGAATTAAGAGAAGACCAAGAAACAATATAGAAGAAGGTCTGACTGGGAACAACTGATTTATCCCTATAAATGCCATGCTTTGCACAAACACTGTTCAGAATTGAAACTGTAGAAAAGGAAACTGCAGAAGAACATAGCTTGTCGCAGGGGTAGCTGCTCAGCTGGAGAATTTAAGGAAGCTGTAGATCAAGGTATAAAATGCTGCTTCACTAGTTACCACAGTTGTGAATTTGGGTTAAGTTACTTAATCTGTTTGATTCCCTCCTCCCTTTTTGTCTTTTGAAAATAACCTGGTTGTGAGAAAGAAACAATATATGGAAACAACCAGCACTTTGCTACACAAACATGCTGCTCAAAAAAAAGTAAAAGAAAAGAAAAAGAAAAATCGTTGCTATGAAGATGACATCATAAACACACAGTCAAATAGCTAAATATGTTCATCTTTGATGGGATACAATGGGACCCATTGCCTAAGGCAGTGCCTGTCAATCACGAAAGTGCATATGAATCGTCTGGGGATCTTGTTAAAATGCAGTTTCTGCTTTAATGGGCCAAAGGAGAGTGCTGGAATTCTACATTTCCAACTAGTTCCCAAGCGATGCGATGCTTCTGGTCTCTGGACCACCCTTTGAGTACCAGGAACTAATAGGATAAATATAATCACCCCATCTTCTATACTTCATTAGGCTCAGTGCACTGGTCAGTGGGAGTCATAAGTGGTCACACTGTAGAGATGGGGGTGACTCTGTCATCTGGTGGGACCCTCACCATAGAGAAATGTCACCACATCAGGAGAGATCTGTCTCCAGGTACATTCAATACACCCACTGAAGGTTGCCATCAGGATGTAGGACATGCTTCACTCACCCTTCTACCTTCCACCCACACCTCTCAGTTTTAAGATCTTTTTTTTGAGAATTTTTTTCCCAGTCTTCTCAGTAAGATTTTACCTGATTTCACTTAATAAAAAGCTTGAGAATCCCACATTATTATGATTTGTTACAGAATCCCCATCCCTTTGAAACGGCTCAGCATGGCATGTGTAGTTAATTGATCTGATTGGACACTTCCCATTGAACAGGGCCTTGGCACGGACTCTAAGAAAACTTAACCTTCAATTAACTCAAATCATTATGCAAAAACATATAAAATATGGCCACAATGGCATTTTTTCCTCCTTTATTGCCATGAATTTCATGGGACCAAGAGTAAAAATGCATCAATTTTTAATGGAGTATGAATCAGAATAGTAAACTACATATATCCCTTAGAGGGTTTGCCTCACTGCAACTTTGCAGTTCCAGTCAGGATGGGGCTCATGAATTTTAACAATAAGAAGGAACACATGGTAGCCAGGGCGGGCCAGCTAGTGTTTGCTTGCATAGGAGATGAGATACTCAACTACATACCTACTAAAAGAACACTATCTCTAGATGCCAAAACGTTTTTCCTAGACTAGAAAGGACGATTTTTATACAACCTCTCCTGCTTGTGGACAGGAGCTATAAAATACAGCCAAAATCATAGTGAAAGAAAATATCACATGCATGCCATGCAAATCTCACTGGGGTAACTATACGATAATTCTACCCCATATCCCATGAAATTTAATGAAATGAAACTTTGGAGCAAAATCTGTCCTCCTTAGAACTTGAGATCTTATGAAAGAGGGACACCTACCATGTGTAGATGATCTGTCCTCTGGGATAAGTGTAGAGTATAATGTAGCAGTCTCCACCATAGAATTCACCATACGAGTTCCGGTCAATTTCAATCCTACCATTATTTTCTACACGCCAAATCTGAAAGGAATGGAATGTGCATACCAAAATTAAAATGTTCTTGATCTTATAGTACTTAGAAGTTAAAAATGTTTTCGGTTTAGATCTATCATTAAATAACTTTTTTCTGTAAGTGTTTATTCATTTTTGAGAGAGAGAACATGAGCAGGGGAGGGCAGAGAGACAGAGGAACAGAAGATCCAAACTGGGCACTGTGCTAACAGGAGTGAGCCCCATGTAGGGCTCAAACTCAGGAACCGTGAGATCATGACCTGAGCCAAAAGTGGACTCTCAACTGCCTGAGCCACCCAGATGCCCCAATAGCTTTTTAAAAAATGATTTTCTTCTTTGAAAAAGAAAGAGAGAGAAAGAGTGCACATACAAGCTGGGGAGAGTGGCAGAGGGGGACAGAGAACCCTAAGCAGGCTCCATGCTTAGCACAGAGCCCTGTGTAGGGTCTGATCTTATGACTACAACCTAAGCTGTAATCTAGACTCAGGCTCTTAACTTACTGAGCCACCCAGGTGCCCCTTTTGACTTTTTTACTTTAGAGCACGTGAAACAATTCATAAGTTACCTCTCTAGCTTACAAATTAAGCAATGAGACAAAATTTTATCAATCTGACAATTTGTTCATTGACTTTTTAAGCGCTTATATAGATTTTTTGCATCGTCCATAGTACTTAGCTCAGGTCTGAGCCTATTGATTAATACATACCTATTATTTGATTGATTAGTGAAAACAGCACTAGACTCCAGTGGAATAATGAACTAAAATATTCAGCTCAGAAGAATATCTCTTAGTTTGCAGAACATTTTTCATCCATCGGAAGATACCTTGTTTGTTTGTTGTTTAAAAAAGATTTTTTTCCCTGCACTTTAAGGCATGAGACTATTATTTTCTCAGGCAAAAATGGCAAACTGGGACCAAATAAGCAAGACGCCGATGGCATGACTATTTTCCAAAGGTGCCAAGTAGGCAAAAGACTGGAAAGACAAAAGTAGTCAGAACCAGTGTGTTTTCTAGTTTCTCATCCTCATCACAGATTAAAGACACTGCAAGCTGGAGAGAGCAGAGTTACAGATGAACCAGGAAAGTAACAGAAGAGCCCGCCAGACACTGTGTGCACGCACTCCCTCCCAGGGAGAGGCAGGTACACCCCTTGCTTCAGAATTTGGAGAGATGAGCTGGTGGAAGAGCCTGCCCGTGCCATCCTGGTGAGCAGAGGGGCAGAGGAGAAACTCCAGTGCTGCCGGGCTCAACCCAAAAGCCTAGAGAGAGCCCCAGATTTCAGCAGTCCTGGGGGGACACAGGACGACATCTCCGAGCTGCTGTGACCTGTGACAAATGGAGGTTGCAGCGGCGGAGACACAGGTGGTGCTGGGGAGCCAAATGTGCCACCAGGCCCACTGGGCAGGAGACAAACCCAGACCAGAAGCAGAGGCCCCTCTGTCATTGCTCCCTTTGAGGTTCCCACAACCCTAGACACCTTGGATTCTCACTTCATGTCTTTGAAAAGAGGAAAAACTACTTCATAAATCCCTTTACCCTATACTTTGCTCCAAACATAGGTGGCAAGTCTTGAGAATGCGAAGACAAAATACTCAATTCCTACCCTCAAGGCACTGATAAGAGGTCTAGGAGGAGAACATTCTAAGTAAATGAACAATCCTGCTTTGTAAGTTTGTAAGTTAATGAACAATACAGGGGCTCTGTGAAAAATATTCCATTTGGTTTGAGCACAAAGGCTTTCCAATGGGGAGGGAGGAAATGCTTCTCAAAAAGGTGCAGCTTGTGACTTCACTGAATTACAAATGAGAAGTGGGAATGAGAGCCCGAGGGAGGAGGGGAAGAGTCCTCAGGAAGTGGAAGGGTGAGGCAGGAAGGAGGGCAAGGATCTAGTCACAGAAGGCCTTGCAGGCCCAGCTGAAGATGGAGGTTCCCAGGAAGACTATGCAGAGCCACTAAAATATATATTTTTTTAATTATTTTTAACTTTTTTAACATTTATTTCTTTTTGAGAGACAGAGCACAAGCCAGGGGTAGAGGTAGGGTAAGAGAGAAAAAGAAGAGAGAGGAAGAGAGAGACAGAATCTGAAGCAGGCTCCAGGCTCTGAGCTGTCAGCACAGAGCCTGACGTGGGGCTCCATCACATGAACTGCGAGATCATGACCTGAGCCAAAGTCAGACCCTTAACCAACTGAGCCACCCAGGTGCCCCACCATTAGAATATTTTATAATCAGATGTGACATTACCCAGTTCTCATTAAGTGAAGTGACTCAAGAGTAGAGTGTGGTGAGAGATGAGTTAGGGAGAATTATTAGGAGGTTAGTAGCATGTTTTTGTCAAAAAAAAGGAGTAACATCAACCAATTGAAAGCTCTCAAAATATCAGTGATTTTAGCACATGTCCAATTTGCTTTGGGAATGTCTGTAAGCTACAAGGAAAGGACTAACTAATGATATTTGGTACATTCAGAGCTCACACTCTCACTGGACAATCCCAGTTCCAAGAGCTGGAGACATTCTGGACCAGGAAACAAGATGGCTGGGTTCCATGTGTCTAAGATGATAAGTAGATGATCTTGTGCAGATCACCTAACTTCTTGGAATCTCAGCATATACTTTGTAAAATAGGACTGAAGGTTAGAGAGCATCTCTTCCAGCTTTAAATTCCCTGATTTGATATATAGTCATGGGTCACCTTTATTAATAAATAAAATTCATAGTTTACAAAGTTTGTAGTTTCCTAAAGTTACATCTCCAAGTACACTGGCATAAATGGGCTTGATGAAAACAAAAACCACAAAGAGAAATAGCCAAATACCTCCACTTCGCCAGAACCATCATCCACCATATTGTGCTGGGCTGCCATCTGTGGAGAACTATGTAGTTTTGAGGCATCAAATGGAATTTGTTTTATACGAGCCACTTTCTCAGTGACGTATACTTTCCCGAAGCCATCACTCTGATCTTTATCCCTCCAGTCCTTAAAGAACTGTTTGAAGATTGGTGTTTCCCCTCCTTCTGGAAGAACTTGAATCTAAAATTTAAAAAAGATAATAATTATGCAAAGGGAAATAAGCGACTGGAAAAAAAACATTCAACCAGGAGTGGAGAAAAAAACTAAGGAAATGAAAATGACTATCTTGGTTTCTGTGATGACAGATGGAAACTTAGAAGCTGGGATCCTAAGGGAATGTAAAATGGAAGGTGACCAAATTTGAAGGTAAAACAATCCAATGCCTTTTGTCACAACTAAAGTGATTGCCATTGAATTCGGATGTTTGAAATATGAACAAAATTCTTTCAAATGTAACCATCAAGTCAAATACGTTTGACTGGTTTTTGCATTAGGTTTATAAGAGGTCTGTAATCTGGAAGAAATAATCTCATTATGTTACTTGTGCTAGTACGTAAAAACGAAAGAAAGAGTGAGTCTGAAAGACTCAGAAAAGAAAAGTAACTAGAATGTGTCTAGGCTAATTTCAGTGAAGCCAAATATTGTCTGGGTGTTAGTCTATGTCTGCACAGCTTGCTCTAAGGACCAACTGAAAAGTGCTCTCAGTTAACTCAACTGTGGCTGATTATCTTGACTGAAATGCTGTGGAGGAAGCAGACAGGGTCTTATTTGCATCATACAGTCCCACGGAAGGTCTGATCTCGTTTCTGCAAAATTCCATCCTCTACAAAGCTATGGGTCTAGGAACATAGGATGCCATGTAGCACACACATAAGTGATGAATGACTCCCATGCATATATTATTTTGAACGAAATTCTCGCATGACTTTTGTGGCAATATGATAAACTCCCATGTTCTTAATTTTTTCTTCTAGCCAGTTCATTTCCACACATACTTGGGTATTGGTGGAATAATTCATTTGCTTTAGGAATTCTTCAGCTGTCTTCATTGCAGCCTTTCTCTCCTGTGGATTAGCATCTTTACCTAAAATGGAAGATAAATTAAAAAGACAGAATCTTAGGGCACCTGGGTTGCTCAGTCAATTAAGCCTCTAACTCTTGATTTTGGCTCAGGTCATGATCTGGCAGTTTGTGGGTTCAAGCCCCGCATTGGGCTCTGCACTGTCAGTTCTTGGGATTCTCTCTCTCTCCCTCTCTCTCTACCGCCCCCTACCCTACTCTCACTATCTCACTGTCTCACTCCCTCAAAATAAATTAAAAAACTTAAAAAATATAAAATATAACATTCAAAAAAAAAAGAATCTCAGAAAGAGAAGATATATGATTAAGAAATACTTGCACACCAAGCACTGAACATAATTATAATTTAAATAGAACACAGAGAATGGTAAAAATTTCCTAGTGTGTTAAATATATTTAGTAACATCATATTGATCACTATATATATAGAAAGACTCTTTTCAAATTTCCCTAATGCTTTCTTTAACCCCATCATTCCTGGCAAATGATATCAGTCAGAAGAAGATATGGTGTTGATGTCTGCATTTTATATGAGGTGTTTACAGGCCAAGTCTCAAAAAGACAGGCTTTTTTTTTACAATCAGAAAAGATGTTTCATTTACCTTTCTACAGAAATGGCTGTATATCTGGAACACAGCCACAGTATGAATGGCATTTTTTACCTTTCCATACGAAAATTTGTTTTGCAGCACCGTGGTCCAAAATAAAGCATTCTTCAGAAAGCAGCATTGCCATGGAGAAGGGGTTTTCTTCTGCCACCATGGTCACTCTCATGGATCCAGTGGCATCTGAAACCTAATATAAAAACCATGAGCTTGTTTGCAGATAATAAAAATGTTTTAAAATTTCATTATGGTGATGGTCTGTAAATGTAATAAAAACCATTGAACTGTATATCTTAAATGGGCAGGGAATGTAAATTATATCTCAACAAAGTTGTTTAAAACAAACAAAGCCATGAGTGCTAATACCCTAATAGGCTTTTTAAAAGATTTTGGACAATTAACAAAACTAAAAGACAACCTACTGAATGGGAGAAGATATTTTTGAATCACATATCTGATAAAGGATTAGTATTTAAAATATATAAACAATTCATATAACTCAACACCAAAAAATCCCAAATAATCCAATTAAAAATGGGCAGAAGACATGAATAGACATTTCTCCAAAGAAGATATCCGGACTGCCAAAAGACAAATGAAAAGATGCTCAACGTCACTCATCATCATAGAAATTAATAATGGGTCACCTGGATGACTCTGTCAGTTGAGCATCTGACTCTTGATTTCAGCTCAGGTCTTGATCTCACAGTTGTGTGAGATCATGAGATCAAGCCCTACATAAAGCTCTATACTCATAGCGCAAAACTATACTCATAGTGCTTCAGATTCTCTCTCTCCTCATTCTCTGTCCCTCTTCCAAATGCACACTTACTCTCTCTCTTTCTCAGTCTCCCTCTCCCAAAAATAAATAAACTTAAAATAAATAAATAAATAAAAATTTAAAAAAATTTGAAAAGTTTTTTAGGGTAGAGATGCCTGAGTGGCTCATTTGGTTAGGCATTTGACTTCAGCTCAGGTCATGGCCTCATGGTTTGTGAGTTTGAGCACTGCATAGGGCTCTGTGCTGATAGCTCGAACCCTGGAGCCTATTTTGGTTTCTGTGTCTCCTTCTCTCTCTGTTCCTCCCCTGCTAGTGCTCTCTCTGTCTCTCAAAAATAAATAAACATTAAAAAAAAATTTGGAAGTATTTTGGGCTAAAAGCACCGCTGATAAAAAGCCAAGTTTTGATACTGGACCTAATACATCAGAAAGTCATAGTGTTAATAATAATAGCTAAGGTTTGTTGAGATTTCTATAAATTGTAAACACCAGGCAATGACGTTTACATGATTAGTTTCTAAATTGTATAGTGATCTTTTCAACTAGGTAATAATCTTAAACTCACTGCACACATGCAAAAGCTAAAGCTTAAACATTCATTCATTCAACATTTACTGAGTACCTACCATATGCCAAACATTGTGCTATGGAGGAACTGGCATATTTTAGTCTATGCTTATAGATTTTTTCAAATTAGGTCCTGTAATTTAAGTATATTTTATGTAAATTGTCAAAATAAATTTCCTCTGTCACAAATACTTATTAACTTAGACTCTTGAAGTTTAGAAATAACCACAAAACATTTTTTTAAGTTGGAGGTGGTCTTCAAAACGGAAAGTGATATTAATGCCTAGGTTAGAATTCACTGTTTTTCAAAGGGCAGCTAGTAAACTGCAAGATAATCATCTGGGCATTGGATAAATATTCCATGGACCTTCCTAGATCAGTGGTAGGGTTTTGCAGCATTGTGGTGGGGCTTGAATTCTGTTTTTTTAGAAACTGCCTAGGTGATTCTGCTTCCCAGCGTTGTTCTACAATTCCAAATTAAAGCATTTTCAGACTTTGCAATTTATATGAATGCAATACACTATATATCCACTAGAGGGAGCAATGTTACATTTTTCACATTTAAAAATACTTAGTTTATTATAATGCTGTCCAAGAGAGAGAACGTTATTTGATGATGTGGCATAAAATATATTTGTTAAGCTGTTGAAAACGGGTTTTAGAAAAAGTAATAAAAAAATCTGCCACAAAGTCCAAAACAACAATTTTTGTATGTCTTATATTAATATTTAGCAGAAGTGGTAACCACATTTTCCTTTGCCTTCTAGGAAGAAAAGAATCCACTTCCCCTTTATAAAATGCAAGTTATAATACACAAGTTAGTAACTTGATCTTCATTCAAAATCAGTTTCTGAGCTAGAAGTTCCCTTAAAGAAGAGCAAATGTAACTCCTTCCTGTGATGCCTGATGACTACTTGGCTCTGCAGGGAGATTAACCATCTGCTCCCAATCATGTACTTGGAAAGTTACAAGGGGAAGAAACTCTTGAAGGATCCCATCTGAGCAATCTCCTCAACTTGTGCATTTGTAGCTTCTGTTGCCTTCACCAACAATAAAATCATAAAATTGTGAAGTTGGAAGGAACATGAAGAAACTTCTAATGTAATGTCTCTCTCTGTTTTTCAGCTAAGAAAACTGAGGCCTACAATGGTCCCTTTGCCCAGGGTTATCACCACAGAGGTGACATGGAACTCGGTCCCAAATGCCCAGGACAGTGCTGTTTTTACCCTGTTTCCTCCCAGCTGTTTGGTTTGATAGCTTTTCCCTCCTGTAACAAAGAAAGGTTTCATTATGGCTAAACAGGATTTTTAAAATAACGTGAAGATTCTATAGTTTATCAAGACTTTATATGAAAAAGCTTACCACACTCGGCTCTACTCCTGAAACCAATACTACATTGTATGTTAACCAACTTGAATTTTAATAAATTTAAAAAAAGAAAAAGCTTTACCAACTATTTTTATTCCATGAAGGAAACATTTTATTAAATATCATATATCAAAACATACTGTTGCAAACTAGCACAGCAAAAATATATAATTTTATTTAAGTTGTAGCAATTATTTCACTTATTTGGTGTTTTTTAATAAAAATAACAAAAAGCGATAAAAAGAGGAAATTTAATAGACATACTAGAGCAAACAATGGATTCCACCTATACATTTCTCTTTGAGGGCAATGAGAATAATCAGCTATTGCAGGGAGTCCCTTCCACAACAGGCCTCCTGGCTGCCTCCAGTCTAGTAAAAACAACAGAATTCTCTAACAGTAAACTCACCATGTAGAGTTTGGCCATTTTCCTGTTGGTTATGTCTGCTATGGTGTCATCATCATCATCTCCATCCCTAAGCTCTGGCTTTGTCCCTAAAACCTGGGAAAAAAGTGAACAGATAAAAGATAAAGATCTCTCATTGAAGGATGCAGAGTTAAAAAAAAAAAAAGTAAATCTATCTTACATTTCTAAAGACATAAATTATAAAATATTTGTAATTAAAATGACCAGGCTCAAACATTTCTCAACAATCATACTGCATTGGCCTTTTCCCATGGACCACACCAATTGCATTAAGTAAACAAACACTGAGTTTGTTCATGATGGGAATTTCCAAGAAAATAAAAGCCTACACTTGAAAGTAAACATGTTCATCTTATTGAAGATGACCAGGAATCAATTAAAATATGAGTTCTAAATTCACTTCCATAACAATTTCTTCTTGTGACCTTTGCTTCAAGAATCAATCTATAGGTTTAATTACAAAGACTTGGATCAAATTACTATTTGAGGGTGGAGTACCATTATCATCACTGACATATTATAGCCTAGAAAAAGGACAAGTTCTTGACCACACAATACTATATTTCCTGCTGTATATTTGGCACTTATAACGGTGTTGGGAGCATAAGAGATGCTTGATAAGTAGTTGTCAAATGAATAAATGAACGCATCCATTTATTCTTTGCATATATAGTATAGTCCAAAAATTCAAGTACATAAAGTATTTAGTAGAAAAGTATATTTGAATCTGCTTTGATTTTCTACACACTTAAAATCAGAAAAAAAATAAGTGTATAAAGCAACTTACTTAATTAAATTAATCAACATAAATGTCAAAGATTGTTAAAGACAGGATAAAAATATAAACTTACTCTAAGCAATGTGACTTTTATAACAACATAAACATAAATTCAAGTTTAGAACATACAAAGAAGGTATTCCCTTAGATTCAGTAACATTTTGTATACAATGAAATTCCTTGCCTACTGTGTTTTATATCCATTAAAAATACATTGCTTGAAAATACATACTGCCAAAAACCAGGCAACAATAAAAATGTACATAAATTCTAATCCTTGTTCGAGCATGGGTACTGCCTGGAGTTTAGAAACTCATTAAAGAACTTATTTTCTCTGGGGACATGCTCATCCTTTTGTTGACACAATTAATAAAACACTTTATTGTACCTACTAAATGATTACAATATAGTTTTCCTTTTTTGCTAACAGTAGGATCAAGACAAAAATTACAACACTTGCAATCAAAGGCACATTTTAAAAACAGTTTTATTGTGCTAGAAGTTTGTATATTTTATAAGAGCAAGAAAGGGCTCTTCAAATACCCTTTTATAACTTTACTCCAACGAAGAGAGTAGTTTGGAACCAACGGTTTGGGTTGAGGACATACCTAATACTTGGAAGTTTCCCCGTGGGTCATGTGAGTCTGAGATTTAGTGCACGTTCTTAGTTTTTAGGCAACAATCCCCATATGAGGCAAGGATCTTAATTAGCTTCTCAAAGGACTATAGCACCATTGGGAATTGAACTCACAGGATTTAACAGAAACAGACCTAATTCTATGGATAGGGGGTGCTGTCCATTGTCAGGTACCCTCAAGAATCATTTTAAAATTCAGTTCAACAACTAGGCATTTACCAAATACCTCACTGGGATATACAAATGAGTTTCTAACCACTTAGATCTTAAGTACTTTACATCTTGCCTAGAAAGAGGAAAATAAACACGTTCACATTATCAACCATGCCATATGTTTTTATCTTTGAAATAAACAATAAATACAGCTTTTCTTTTTTTCTACAGCTAGGATAATATCTAAATTTGAAACGCTCACTTTACGTTTCTCAAGTGATTAGCAATTTAACTCATGAAATCCTTTGTGTGTGAAATAACATATATTTTGACAATTTAAAGAGGAAGGGACACGGAGAAGACTTATCTGAAGATGTTTCTTAAAAATTTCACCTATTGTTCTAGCCAAGATCAGTCACTCAAGCTTTGAGTTTCGCCATCCCTCCACTTCCTTCAATTATTTTCCATAAATTTCCACTTAAGAGTATATTCATCCTTTAACATGCCCCAAACTGAACTCAGCTTTTCACAATACCGACAGTTCTCAATTCCCAATTTGTATCAGTGAATCTCTGTTCTATTTACCTGGACTTAAAATCATGTGGCCCATTTTGAATACCTCCTGTCCTCCATGTTGAATCTCCTACCAACTTAGTCATTAAATTCTACTTGTTAATAATAATGTTTGGAGTCATTTATTCCTGTCTCTTCCTTAATTTCCACTTTACTGCAAATCTCTCAAAACCTGAGGGACATGTTACACCTACACCTGTTGTCAGTTCCCTCCTGCTGTCAGGTTCACCTCATCTTTTCATTCAGAAATTATCCTGCACACTGACTGGATAAAGTTACTTCACTTTACTCCCAAGTTTCAAGAACATGACTCAAGATAAAGGTTTATATCTTATAGTTGCATCAGTGATTCTTAAAGTTCCAATATGCTAATACAACATTAGTAACTCGGTAACCTGATAAAATATACATTCTCAACTGCCAGCCATTAAGTCATTATGTCTAGGGTGAGGCCCAGGAATCTGCACTCCAGATGCTGCTGAATTGGCTGCTTACTGACAGAGCCAAAACTTCTATCTGGATTCCAAAGCCCCTTGAGAGACTGGATGCTACCTACACTGCGTTATTTCTTAATATTCTCTACCAACTCCCCTCCCCATGATGGTGTTTTCAGTGTCCCCTGTGGGAGCCACACACTTTTCTCCCCCAGGGCTTTACCTAATGCTGTACATAACTTCTACCTAGGCTAACTGCAAGTGGTAGAAGCAAAACTGAGCAATTATTCTTTGGCTGGTTCAGCTCATCATAATTAGCACAGTAATAGTTACTGCTTATTGAACGTCTACTATGAGTCCCACACTGTATCAGGAGCTTTGGACACATATTGTTTCATCTTTATAGGAGATTCTTTGAACCAGACACCATTATCCTCATTTTACAGAAAAATGTCACTGATGCTCCAAGTCATGAAGTGACTGTTTCACAGAACTGTTCAGTGTTTGAGATTTAAATTCTGTCAAAGTCCCTTTAATACCCTAATTTCAGTACTTTTTATAATAATTAGTTGCCTACTTCCCTAAATCAAGGGAAAATAGGAAAGTCTGTGAAATGGACAAAAGGATTCTTTCCAAGGATGGTGTCCAGGGGCTCCTTCTGGTGATCTGATACCGTAATGTTATTTTCTTTCCTTTTCTTTGAGTAATCTTCAAGCCCAGAAGAAGACTGATACCAGCAAATGATTTTGTCCACAGACATGCACAGGAATTTTGTCTGGTGGAGATGAAAATAATTTCTGCCCTGTGAAAGAGGCCAGCTTTGCATTTGTCAGCAAATTCATCTCAATGCTGATCACCAGACCAATGATTTAACCCAATATTTCTATTCTAGTGGTTTATTATAAAGAAATAATTGAAATACATACAAAGAATCAACCTAATAAATATTCATAATAGCATTTCACAGTATTAAAAAAAACACAAACCACCTAAATGCCCAACATGAAAGGGATTAAAAATATTAGGCTGTTATCTATGGAATGGAAAACTATAGAGACATTAAAATATTATACAAATTTTTTGATGGTCGGGAAAATGTTCATAATGTTTCAAGTAAAAATTTATATTGCAAAGCATTATCTGTACTAGGAACTCTTTCTTATGCAGGGAGACACAGATGAAAAGAAAGATTATGAAGAATTTGGTTATGTTTTACTCAAAGGTGGGACTTGGGGATATATTCCTTCTCTATTATGACTATATTTTATAAAATTTCAATAATAAACAGGTATTTTTCTTTAATAAATAAAACTGTAAAGGCTTTTATTGAACAAAAAATATTGACTTCTTTTTTTATATTTATTTTCTCTCCCTGTGGAATAGTCGGCATTCCTTCAAATGGAGTAATTATAACTTCCTTTTAACTTATAATCTACCTTAAGCTTCCACCTCAGGCTTCCTCAATCAATTCATCAAAGATAGTAACTATTCCTGCTGGATTCCTAAATGCTCTAGGTATTTTGATCAATCCACAGTGGCACAGGGGCCTTAATTTTTCAACTCGGAATTAAGTGGTTTCAAAGGTCACAAGTACCATTTTTTTGCTATAGGGTGTGATATGAATAGAAACATGGGAACATCACTGTCTTCTCTGTTAGTCAGTATCATAATAGAAACGTCTAACAATTTAAGATACATTAGAGAGATTAGAAATTTGTGTAAATACAATTTTGTTCTATGCCTAAATAGATCTGTTCTGCTCTTCACTCCTTACCTTCAACAGTTCAATCCAAAGTAAATCAGAAGATATTTATCTTAAATCATGACAGCACATACACCATCTTGCTCTATTTATTTATTCATTCATTTACTTATTTATTTACTCTATTTCCATCTTGCTTAAATTCACAATCTCCTAGCTTCATATTTTCTGGGTTCTCACGATGTGGGTCAAGACCATCCATAGGGTCTTGTGTTTTTTCTCTATGACCCATTGTGACTTTTTCCTTTAAATATAAACAGGCCTACATGTAAATTTGTTTTAGAAAAGAAGGACCAGGAAGTTAAGAAAAATGTTGCTCTATCTTCATAATCCTTACTTAATTTTCACGTTTACATCTGCCTTTGTTTATTTTGAATCCTTTAGCCAGCCCCACCAAATAGGGATATGAAATTCCAACCTTTACAATCTTGCTCTCTTAGGATGCGGTTTCTCTCTTTTCTACAGAGAAGTCAGGATGTATGGATAATGTGCAGTACGTATTTGGAGTGAATAGTAGGAAAAGAGGGGGATAATGTGTGGCCTGGAGGAAGGACAGTACCTAACTCAAGACTCCAAATCATTTTGGATGAAAATGTTTCATGTTAGTGTCAAGTCCTAAAAGCACTTAACAGAGAGGGTCTTCTATGTTTCTCAACTCTGATTTCAGCTTGACAGATTAGGAAACTGAGGATAGAGAAGTTAGGAGTTTGGCCTTTGGTCCAAGTCTTATAAATTGTA